ACCAATGTTGAAGATCACTGACTTTTTCCTTGGCTATTTCTAGACAACGTACTAATGGGCCCATTCAATGCATTCATTTCTCAGGCCTTCCAAGGGCCTGAGTGCAGCTGGAAGCCACTAGATGGAGCCCACAGCTGCTCCGATTCTGCGCTCAATCAGCCCTTCTCCAAGATGGCTCCCGGCCAATTGCTCTCTCATGCAGGAAGACTGTTAAAGAGTGTTTTTGATTTCTAGCATTTTTTTGAAGGCAGGGGCTCATTATATAGCCCTGGCTGGCTTTAAACTCAAGGTAATCCTTCTGTCTTGCCCTCCAGAGTGTGGGGAGTACAGGCATGCGCCACCATGCCTGACTGATTTCTAACACATTAAAAGACTATTATTGCAAGTTTGAGGCCAGCTGGGGCTGAAGTGAGCTCAAGGCCAGCCTGAACTGCATAATGAGACCCTGTCTCAAAAAGACAAAAAGAAAGGAGTACTATTGTGCCATAAAGAAGGATAAACTGGAGACTTCTCTATGAGAAGCTGAAAGAGTACATAAGATCCAAAATGTACAATAGATATTGTAAAATAGAAAGAAACCTCAAAAGGAAAGTGACTCTGGGATGGGGGAGTGGGGAAAAGAAAGAAGGGAAAAGCACATATATATATACATATGTATAAACATATGTTAAAATAGATATACTACTAATTTCTCTTAGTTCATTGAAAAGTTTGTGATAATACTGTTTGGACAATTAAATGCTGATATCTTATACTCTGAGTAACTAATTTAAAGATACAAATATGCAATGTATTAACCATTGTTACCCTCATATTATTTTGTTTATTTATTTATTTTTATTTTACTTTTTTTCCAGTACCGGGAATCAAACTCATGACCTTGCGCTTGCCAGGCAGGCACTGTGCCGCTCAGCTAAATCCCCAGCTCCCCTCATACTATTTTGTTTTGAAATTTTGTTTCAGTTTTTTTTTTCTTAAAATAAAAAAGAATATTATAATACAGCAAAAGATATTTTTTTAGTATGTCCATCTCTCTACTTACACTATGCAATGTTTTTTGTGTGCTTGTTTGTTTTGGTATCACTGGGAATCAAACCCAGTGCCTCACACACACATTAGGCAAGTACTCTACCACTGAGTGACAGCTCTTCCCCTACCCATCTATTCTTGCATCTTGCGTACTTGATCCATTAAAACCTTTAACATACTAACATTATTTTAAATTTCCTATCCAATCATTCTTAAATCTGTCATTTCAGGTGCTTATTTTGAGTCAGATGCTTATTTTGTTTCTTCAAACTGCTATTTCCGGGCCATTAGCCTGCCTTCGATACATACTTAAGTAAATTTCAAGCTGGGCATGGTGGTGTATGCCTGTAATCCCAGCATTTGGGTGGCTGATGCAAGAGGATCTCTACAAGTTTGAGGCCAGCATGGGCTACACAGTGAGTTTAAGCCTGAACTACATAGTGAGACCCTGTTTCAGAAAAAAGAAAATTTCATTTACTGTATCATATTCAGGTACAGTCCCACATTTTGTGGGGCCTGAAACAAAAATAGTTCGGGTCCTTTAAGGAAAATATAAGATTACATGTGCAAAATTAGGCAGAGAGTCTTGGAAGAGGCTCATGCAAAGGGAGAGCCTAAAGCTTCATGTTCACTATGTAACGGCAGATTAGAGGACACAAACAACCTCCAAGGTAAAAGCCAGATGGCTACCACACTAAGATCATCACACGCTTACTGTGCGCCATGTACTTGAGAAAATGTGCCCTACCCTATCCTTATGAAAGTGTCACTCCTGTCCCTTATGCTGACCTTGTCCCCTCCCCAGAAACACAGGCAATGACCCTGACTGGCCTGGACCACCGATCAGTGAAACAGTTAGTTTTAGAAAGCAGCGCATGAAGAGCATGAAGCACACCTCACTCACCATCCCACTTGTAGTGGGTTGACAGCTGGTGGTCAACCTATAACCCCAAGCTGAACTGAGTAAGCGTGGTGCTGGGCATAAGCGGCCCACCTGGGGACTGTTGCCAGCAGCATAACAGGCAGAACTGGAGAAGAAGAAGAAGCAGCGGGCTGTTGGGAGCCGAGAGAGGCTGTTGGGAGCT